ATGTCGCATTAGGATTAGTTATTTTGATCACCATTTATGATGGGGTAACCATATGGTTAAATATTAGGTTTGATATCGTTTTAGGAATTAGAATATTATGACAACTGATCACAATATTATTTTTCAACGACCGTAATTCATATCACTCATTTATATAATACAATGTAACACTCCTAACCTTGTAATGGACCCGAGCTTTATGAGTTTCAAATAAACATCTTTCATATATATATATATATAGAGAGAGAGAGAGAGAGAGAGAGAGGGGAGCGTCCAAATACAAACTGTCTTAATTTATAAAATCCATACAAACTAATAACAACCAATCACATAAATCCATTTGTTTTTCTTTATTTTTAATTTTATAAGGGAATAATGGTCTTTTGAGATTATCATAGTTATGTTTGGTAGGTATTTAATATTAATAATAAGTTTGGTAATTCTTTAATTTTATATAAATATGAATTATATTTTGATTAGCTAATACATTTTTAGTAAATATTTAGTTGATTTATTCATTATATATGTTGATACAAATTGTCATCTTTGAAAAATGTACAATAATTATTGATTAAAGAATATTTTTATGTTTCGTCATTTGTTAGAATATCCCGCATTTTATCGTTTTAGGTAACTCTATTTTATCATTAACAGTTTCATTAATAACGATTTCATTTTGTCCAATGCCATAGTTTTATTTTGTTTCATCATTAACAGTCTCATTCTGTTTCATTACTAAAAGTTTCAATCTGTTTCATCATTAACATATTCATCATTAACAGTTTCATTACGTTTTATCATTAACACATTCATTATTAACAGTTTCATTCTGTCTAATGCCACAATTTCATTCTATTTCATCATTAACAGTTTCATTATGTTTCATCATTAACACTTCTAAATAGCTTATTGTCCCATCATTAACAATTTATAGTGTCCAATGAAACATGTTCACATGATTGGATGCGGGAAAAATGATTTCAATGATCGCAATAGTTTTACAATGTATTCCTGTTTTGCCCTTTCTTGTTGAAAACAATAATAATTTATGTTCTTTTATTTTTTTTACTTACTAAAATAACATGTTATAATCGTAGCCTTTGATCATGAAAATAAATGAATGTAATTGGTTTGTATAAAAAACATGGTTGCAAAGTAAATCCCCTCTCTCTCTCTCTCTCTCTCTCTCTCTCTCTCTATATATATATATATATAGATAAAGATAGATGGAGGCATCTTCATTTGTTAATCAAACATATAGTGAAAACTTTGTTAATTAATCTCATCCACTAAAATTTTCAATCATCGGATCAAATTGAATTAGTGGCAATATTATAATGTTTTGTAAATGAAACACACATTCGTTTCGGGAATCATAAAGTGAATAAAGGGTATTTTTATAAGTTGAAGAAAAAAGTTGATTTAGGAAACGTAGTTCATTTTGGGATATTTTTTATTCATATAAATTCACAAACGAACACCTTTTACGAAAACGAACTTGTTAGAGGTTCACATAAAAACATGTTCACACATGAACATACTTTAAATATATAATGTTCACATATGTCTTGATGATTCACTTATGAACATAGAAAAACACAAATTACTGTCATAATTAACTGCAAATTAATGATTATATAACCATTTATTAAAAAAATTACAAAGTACAAAACTAACCCTACGCATTAGCTAAGACGTGTGATGCAACAAGAAAAAGATTTAGTATTTGATTGATCTAAGGTGGCTTGTAGAGTTAACATTAATTATGTGGTTAACAAATGATAATAGACAAGTACTTAATGTTTTAGAAGAAAGGTAAAGGTTAGCATCAAGTCGGTGATGAGTGGTGAAGAAAACATGGACCTTGAAGGGAGTTAATGGTTGCCAATTTTTCAAAATTATGGTTAGTGGAAATCTTGAAATTAACTCTAATTTGGTTTTGGTCAACAAAATCAATATCTTCTGTTCAACCACTCTCCTAAACTTCTTTCACTAATCTTATCCTTTTGAGATGACTTGTAACTTAACCATTGTAAGTTGTACTCAATGCCATTTACTGTTTCATTCTAATTCACAATTGTATTCCTTTTACATAAATTATGTAAGATGATCCATAATTATTGTTATTTTTATCTTAAAATGAGTGTTTTCAATTGAAATGACACATAATTTTAGACAATCATAATTATTACATTTTTTGTTAACCAAATAATATCTTTACTTTTGTTTCATCTCTCTCTCTCTTCATAGCTCTTAAATATGTATCCATTAATTAAGAGCAAATTTGTGAATTTGATTATTTACTTTTAAAAATGGACACTTATTTTGAGATAAACACAAATAGAAACATATATGGACACTTATTTTGGGACGGATGAAGTACTTTTTAGTATCCATCATATTAGAAGTTTGATTTGAGGTTTTATAAGATAAGAGCATCCATCCATAATGAAAATGCCTATTCAGGTTTCTCACAAGGGTTTTACAAGAATCTCTAATACGTGACAAAAGTTTTTGTCCGGTCACAAGTTCTTATACAACTCAATTGCTTGAACAAAAACCCATGTTCTTGTATGTATTTATTTTTTGTTATTAGTTTTTTAAAATATTTTATTTTATCTTTATAAGTCTATAAAGCATATAAGTTAAAATTGATTAGAAAAAATCTAAATTAATTATCATGATATAATTTTTTTAATTTAGTTTTATTTTTCTTTTCTTGTAAATTTTTATACAGGTTTTTGTATCAATAAGTCTAATTTTTAATTATTTCATTATATTATTATGTTTAGATTTCGTATACTATTAAATTTATATTAATAAGTTTAAATTGAATTAATATAGAAAAGTGAAAATGAATAAATTAAATTTTATTTTTTTATAATTTTATAATATATATATATATATATATATTGTATTTGTATAACAATCTATAATAAAATTAAATTTATAAATTAAAAAAAAAAATAGAAAGTGAGGTTTTTGTAAGAGCTTTTACTGTTAAGTTTGATGATATTTTAGTCTTTTTGTATTTTTTTTTCCATTTTGTCAAATTACAAGGACCAAAAATGAAGTTTATAAGCTTTCATTTAATACATACACTGATACACACACATAACAAGAGCATCTCCAACGGATTATTTAAAATAAAGAATCAAAAGTTAACATTTCAAAAGAAAATTTACATTCATTTCCAACAATTCTCTACTTTGGATATTACAATATGAAATGTATTATAAAATATAATTCCTCGATTCTATACATTTAATTCATGAATTTTCTCATTGGTCGAAAGAATAAAAAATATTATATTTCTCAGGTAATCATTTCTGGAGAGTTATCCTTTGGAGAATCTCATCATCTTCTACTTTCTTCGTTTGGAGAAGGTTTTGAGGAATTTGTGGAGTAAAACCCCCCAAAATCTGCATTTTGTTTAAGATGCTCTAACAACTCATACCCTTTCCCGACCCCCTTTCACTAAGGGGGTGTTTGAGATTGCTTATAAAAACAACTTATTGACTTATTCCGGTGTGACACCGGTAATAAGCATTTTTAAGTATTTGGATAAACAACTTATACCAGTGACAAAATGGTAATAAGAAGTTTTTGAAGAAGTTAAAGCATTCCAACTTATAAAAAGTTGATAAACAATTTTATAGAAAAACATAAGTTGTTTCAAATAAGCAATCTCAAACACCCCTAAACCCCCTCCATGAAAAGAAATAGATTCACCATTCTGGAGAAGATTCTTGACATGTGGAATCATGTTAGCCCTTGCATCACAGCGCCAACAATAATACTCTGCATCTAGACCAATGGTTCCTCTTATTGTCCCATCCATGTAAGAATGAAAGGCCCTATCTATGCGGCATATGTGTCTACATATATGAGGCTCAATACAGCAAATATTGCAGACCATCTTTCATCGAATGGAAAGGATCACTTGCTTCACATAGACTAGGGCACAACATATTCCAGCCTTTCAATCTGATGTAAAAAAAAAAACCTTGTCACTAAAGTGATCATTTATGTACTTACTGATATTTAAGGACCGATTTTGTAGTTTTGTGTAAACCACAAGAACCAAAAATTGCAATATACTCTTCACTGAAATACCAATGAAATGATTTGGAAAAGCCAAACAAATTTGAAACTCATTTTTTCCCTTATTTAAAACATATTCATCATTTCATATCAATCTGTATCTTCATGTATAGAAAAAACATTATAAATAAATGTGTTTTGCAAATTTACCTTTCGGGAAAAACCACGTTTTTATGAAATGTTATGAACATTGACGATGTGCTTCCAAATCTCAAGAGAGACCGATGCACGGTTTCTATCTCCATGAAGACTCGCGATGTGGTGTTGCCATGACCAAAATGAAGATTGTTGAGGAAGGTTGTATCTTCTTTGAAGATGTAGATGCGTTGGAGCAGATAATTTAAAAAGGGTTGTTTAGACTCCATACTTCCTTTATCGTGAGACATAGAGTCAAGACTAGGGGGTTGTTGTAATCATCTACACTGATAGGGCTGGTTGTATGGTTTTTGAGGAACCGAAGCAAACTCAAGCTCTAAACTGAAAAATTGATAAGAAAGACTGTGTGATCTGCAGATCTGGATTGATTTGGGTTTTAAAGACGAAAAAAGGTGAGGAAGGCGGCGGCGACATTTGTATATGGAAAAACCTGAGTCGCTAAAAATATATACGATATCTAAACCCTAACAATCAACGGTCGTGTGACGATCATGGAAAGGTCAAGGCCCGATTGGGACCGGCCTGGGATCGGTTTTTGGCCATCCCTAGACCGTGACCTGATCAATTTAATTGATAATACATTTTCCACAATTCACATTGGAATATTTAGCCTAGCCCATTGGGCTGGTCCACTTATATAATAATATGTTTCTATGCAATATCTGCAGGCCCATGAAGTGATATTTGGTGTAAGTACTTGGCAGAGCCCAATATCAGAGTTCAATTACCGTAATTAGACGATAACGTTTTGTGCGCCAATTCGAACGGATAAACTTTCAACCAGCGGTCACCACCACAACCGACGTTATGGCCGGTACTCTCGCTCTCGGCATCGCCATCGTCTCCGCCTCCGCCTCCACCTCCACCTCCACCGCGGCGTTCACTACCGCAACTATCAATCGTTGCAGAACTTCCCGCAACTTCAGAACCAAAATTCGATGCATAGGATGGGTATCCACTCGATCTCTTGGCTTAGTTACCATTTAAATTACTTTTCGCTCTTACGTTTCTTATCTGATTGTGCGAAGGAAGGATCCGGAAGGGATATTAGGGCCACCGAGCACAGGCCACTTAGCCAGACGTGAGTTCAATAGACGCCTCGAGAAAGATGCCGACGCCCGCGAAGAATTCCAACGTCAAGTCCAAGAAGAAAAGGAGCGTCGCCGGGCTTTGCGTGATGTAAATTCTATCTGGATTTTCTGAAATTGCATCATTTGCATTTCCTTATTCTTTAGTTTTAAAGGGCACGTACTGTACACTTGATGCAAGAAAACTTGACTACTTGATAGGATTGAAACTCGTATTCTAAAGCACAAGTTCAATTTATCTGGTCATCTGTTAAACAACTTCTATAAATGTAGTCAAATTATTGAACCACTTCAACATGTGTCTTGATTTTTCATTTTCTTCAATTGTTGGCTTGTGTGATATATGATCATAACAGTTTGTGCAATATAATCCTTGTGAAACTTATGATAATGAGATCTGTAACATTTAGTTTCTCCCATGTTATATGTTTTCTTAACCTGTCAGCGAATGATAAACGAGTAAGTAAGATCATGATCGTATGTACAGTTCTTGACAATGCAAGTGGATTCATATTAGCTAGAAAGATGGAAATAGGCGCTCTTCACTACAAATGATCAAATTGAGATTTTGTGTTTAGAAATTGACGATCTGGATATGGGTTGATCCTTATGTTTGTTTTACTGTATGTTCTTATAGTCTCGGCAACCTCCGAGTAGTCCTACAGAGTTGGTTGAGTATTTTCTGGATACTGAAGCTCAGGAGCTTGAACTTGAGATTGCAAGAACGAGACCTATGTAAGTTCTTCCATTTGACACGTTATGCTTGTATGTTAAATGAATATGAGTGAGTATATGTTGACAGCTTGTTGAGTTTCTGTTTCTTTGGCTTCTTATTGGTGCTTTATTATATAAGGTACTGCTTGCCTTAACACCAAGAAAACTCCCTGCAGTTTCAATAATGGAGATACACTTCCCCTTTGGAGTTAAAACAGAATTGTTTTGAACCTTGTTACATAATGTTTAACGACATTTTTCTATTGACATCATTAAATTGTTACCAAAGGTAATATAGTTATCTTATTTGTAAACATATTTAAGTTACAGATCAGTTTGGAAGTTATCATTAGTTCATTGATCTCAAAGGTCACACTTTACCTTTTCAATGTCTTCATATAATCATGTCATCAACAAGGCTCATGGTTGAATAACTTGAATTTACTGTAATGTCACCCTCAAAAGCCATATTAACATCTATATTTTCAGGTTGAATGATGAGTTTTTCAACCACTTGAAGTTTGAACTAGGGCAGCTGCGGTTTGCTGTGTCAAAGACTGAGGTTTGCTTTCTACTACATGCTTAAATTAAGTGCATCCCAGACTAATGAATTCTAATTTTGATGTAATGACCGATGATCCTTGTAGGATATGGAGGACAGAGTGATTGAATTGGAAGCATTACAAAAGGCTCTTCTTGAAGGAACAGGTTATTGGCTATGTAATGATATTTTTAAATTCATCTAGATACTTTATTTGTAAACTCTAAAAATATCTTCCTTTTATCTTTTGCAGAAGCCTATGATAAATTGCAAGCAAACATAGTGAAGGCAAGAGAGAACCTAACCAAAATTTTTACATCAAAGGATGTGAAAGCAACTGTACGTGACTCTACTACATATAACTTCTCTTAAAAATTTTTAAGGGAAGCAAGAATCTGCTTGTTTCTCTTAAATAATTACTTCTTTTACGAAACTAAAATGATATCGTTTTATTTACACAGTTACTGGACATGGTGGAAAAGAATGAGATTAATAGATCCCTATTGGCACTTCTTGATGAAAACATAGCAAGTGCTCACAAGGGTAACCAGGTAAGTGATGCTAGTAAAATAGAAGTAGATATTCTGAAGTAGAATTAGTTAAAATACATAAAAATGGACTTTTATCTTTCACTTGGAAATTACGAGTTATTTTGTGCTGATATGGATGCCTTTTTCCATCATGCAGAAACAAGCAGCAGAATACATGGAAAAGATTCGTGGGGCTGTGCGCAAGTATTTTACTGTCTAGTATTGAGGTAGAAAGTATGCAATAGTATTTGTCTATATCTTGAAAATTGGTTTTGAGTGCTGCTACAACATATCAGACATGTCCATGTAGTGACATATAAACTACTAATATATTGTATTTAAATATGCTGTTAAATTTACAGCTTACAAGTACCTCTTATTTTCTAATGTAACCTTGAACTTAGTCCATGATGCTGCTAGAACTGAACCATGGTGAAGGATTACAAGAGTGCACACCCATCAAAGGGTGGAACTCACTAAAGATCTAATAGGAAAGAACGTAGCACGGTAAAAATAGCTGAAGGATTACAAGAGTTCACACCCATTTTCAATTTAAGATTGAAAATCAAGTTGGCCATTAAACCATCATATACTCTAGCTAATTAAATTTATCCCAAAAGGGTGACTAATGTCAATATGTGACAAAATATTCAAATCTTACCCCTGTATAAGCCAGATGAGTGAAAACAAATGAGGGGATCTTTATTGTGGCTGTCATAGAATACTTCTGATAGTTTGATTGAACTCGAATGTACATGTATATGTGCACAAGGACCTGTCACTCTCGTATGATATTCTTGTATATCGTCCAATTTAGTATTACACCAAGTTGTCGATTCATCTGCTCTTATCATACAGCTACTACATGAAAAATACTCATTATGTTCCAATACAGATGCAATGTTTGACTCAACACATAGTTTAATGGAAAGGTTTGACTATTAGTCCAACATCTAAATTACCCACTGATTGTGATGAAATACGGGAATGATTGGACCAAAATCAGTTATATCAATAATTACTGACGGTGAAACAGGTAACCGTTGATTAACGCATCCCAAAAAGAACATTGTTTGTGTATATTTCATGGTGGATTAACATATAGTTGCAGTATAGAAGCACATAGATTAGTCATAGCTATCTTGTCCAAAGCCTTTCTTTTAGTCCCAATCTTGTTTTATAGTTGTGCTTATCTTGTTCTTACGTGATATTGTAGCAACCTAGGAAATCAACTTGGACATTATTCTCCCTTAAATTCAGGAAGCATCATGTGGTGGTTGTTAATTATTGATTCATATATCATTGTGTTACCCATCTGCATGACCTGACTGGAGAAACCAGAAACGTGATTAACTTATTTATAATTAGCATAATCAAATATTTCTTAGCACCACATAGTTGCTTCCCTACTCTATATGAATAACTTGTGGGTCCCTTTATATAGCGTTGGACGATACTGATTACTGGTTTCAATGATTTAATATGATCCCTATATGAATAGCTTGTGGTTCCCTTTATATAGCGTTGGACGATACTGATTATTGGTTTCATTGATTTTATATGACTCATAAAACGAAGAAAAATGTATAAAATAGTGGAAGCTTGTCACTCTAAAATCTTGGCTTATATGCTATTTATTACCAGTAGATAGGTTTTTAAGACATCCAAAGAGAAGTGGACGACTTTAGATCGTCTTAGTTTACGATGAACGAAGCTTGGACTTGGAGTTTTATATATCCCCACTTAAATGTTATGAAACCATCTTTTTGTCTCTTATGTTTGTTAGATATTTAGTTCTTTATTTTAGTATTCAATACCGACAAACATGTACCTCTATTATTTAAGTTTAGACTCTGCACAATTGCCTATAAACCAGCTGTTTAAGCAACTATATATTAATTGTAATTGAAGATTCTTTGTATGTAAATCTTTGACTGTTATTCAACATTTATCTCATGCACAGTTGGCACCTCACACTTGCTGTTTTTTTTTACTGTATAGGCTTTTCTTTTCTGCATTTGATTATCTCTATTTATTTTGCTTAGGAGGTTCTTCTAAGTAGCACCCATGCTCATATTATCACATGGTAATTAGAAAATTAATTGAAAGTTTGACCTGGCTTAGGGGTGATTAGAAAGTCAAACTCTTTACTGTGAGTAGGCAACTTTGATACATATCTCAAGCCAAGAATTAATAGATGACAAAAAGCATTTAAAGATACGAACATTAAAGGAAACCATGTGATTGCATATTGTTTCAATCTCATGAATTATGTAACAATTTTAGTTTTTATTATGAAAATTAAAAACATTTTTTTAGGAAATGGTTGTCTCTTTGCCTTGTTATTGTTTCAATTTATGCTAGCTGCAGTTTATAAGATTTTCTTTATTATGTCACTATTAGATTATGTTTAAGCTCTTTGACAATAGTCAAAACTCTCGCATAAAGGTAAAACCGTAAAACTATTCAGGGTTCTTAAAGACGGGTCTGGTTTCCGGGTGTGTTTGGTACGCGGATGGAACTGGACAAGACTGGACGGATGAAAGTGAGGTAGATGGGCGAAAGAATTCTGGAAGGTTTTAGGGGTTTAATTTGACATGGGTAATTTAGTAATCCACCAATCTTGTCCCGTCTTGCTGATTCTTGTTCCACCTATTTTGGTGGGAAAGAACAAATTGCATTTTGTCCCACTCAGGTTCTGTTTGGTGGGACAACAAGTTAGTATACTATCCTGTACTTCGGACCACACACATTTAAGAGCCTGTTTGTTAGCAGCTTAATGAGACTCACAGCTTATTCGGTGACTGTTTGGTAGTGGCTTAACGATATAGAAAGTGGTGTATGCAATAAGCTTCTAGGGGAAGCTTTATGTAGAAAGCCAAGTTTTATCTAAACTTGTCCTTCCCAATTAAAAAATATGCTAATTTCATCTATGAAAAAAACTCTCCCAAACAAAACCTTCTCAATTTATACAAACAAATTAATCCACATAGAGAGTTATATCCATACAGGAATTAATGGAAAACCATCCAAACAACCCTCAAGTCTTGTCTAGTTTTCCTCTTGCTCAGAGCTGGTCAACCCTGTCATAGAAGGTGCAGAAATAACTCAAATAGGTGGCATGAAATCTTCTCAAGAGTCACTATATAAAGCCTCCTATCCCTCTGATCAACTTCATCACTTCATTACTTCACCTCTCATAATCTTTCCTCCATAAATCACAAACCTTTTCCCCTCTCACCACAAAACTTCCAAAAACTTCCTTTAGATATGAAAAAAGTTGCGTTTTCCCTTCACTTGCTAGTTCTTGTAGTCACCCTCCGGTGCACCTCTGTCATTGGAGCCACGAATCCCACTACCTCAGAATTCATCAGAACCTCCTGCAGAACCACCCGGCACCCTGCTCTGTGTGTCCGCTGTCTCTCAATTTATGCCAGCTCTATCCGAGGGAGCGACCACCAGCTCGCCAAAGCAGCTGTTTCAGTCAGCCTGAAAGACACCAAGGCAGCAGCCACTTTTGTTTCCAAACTGGCCCGAACCTCTGGAATAAAACCCAGAGAGTACCAAGCCGTGAGAGACTGTATCAGCACCATGACCAACAGTGTGTTGAGTCTAACCCAATCGGTTCAGGAGCTGGCTCAGATGGGTCGGTTCAAGGGTCAAGCTTTCGAGTGGCACATGAGCAACGTAGAAACGTGGGTGGCTTCTGCTCTCACTAATCAAAACATGTGTGCCAGGGGATTAGCAGATGGTTCCATTAATGGACATGTGAAGGATGCCATCACTAAAAGAATGGTTTATGTTTCACAAGTTACTAGTAATGCACTTGCTTTATTGAACAGGTTTGCTGTAAGGCATAGAAAAGGCATCCACAAGCCATAAGTGTTCACAAAAAAATGGAACTTAAGATTGCCCTAAAAGTGCCAACTTGTGTAAAATACTACATAGATTAGTCTGTTTGCCTAAAAGTAATCCTTTTTGTATACTTCTTTTTGTCACAAAGATTTGTATTGTATGTATTATACAGCAAGTACTTTTTGTTAACCTTTGTATGTGAAAATGTATCAAAATGTTCAATTATGCCCAAGTCTTATTTTGCTTTTTTTTTGTTTTTTTTTGTTTTTGGAAATAGATGAACTCACACTTCACCCAAATTAACCTAGGGAAGTCATGGTAATAGGTTTCACCCACAACCCTGAGGTAAATCTTTCAGTGGCCACAGGTGCATGTATAGATGGCAAGATTCGAGCTCAGGTTGATTCTATGATTTTATCATCCCTTTATTTTTATCCATCATGCAACCTTCCTCCCGTTGGTTTTTGTAAAGCTATCTGATGATGTTAGTTTCACGTTCTTGAAGTTTCACTTTTTGTTATGTTTACAATAATTTGCATGGGGGACAAAAACAAAGATTCTTCCAACTACTAGGGACACCTTATGCGTATAAAAGAATATGTTTCTTTTTAAATAGTAAAGAGTTAGTAGAATATAAATTGATACGAATTATTCAAATTATTTAGATCTTGAAATTTGAATAAAGGAAAACATCTAAGATCTTGCATGTCTTTATGATTGTTTCATGTGATTATGAGCTAAAACAGTATATGTAATTAATACATAACGATCGAGTGAAACATAACACAAATCCTAAATCTTAGTCGGTCATAGCATTATTTGGCACGTATCCATACCATCACCAAGTCATCATGCGGTTATTACTTCATCTAAAATCTATCATTGTCATAGCCAATTGAAACCCTGGCCAGTTGTAATATCTTAACCCTAGTCATCATACCATTATTCCTTTAACACTAAATTAATTGGTGATGCTTCATGCTTGCTCGAGATGAGATGAGATGAGATGAGATTGAGAGTTGAGATAAAGTGGGCCTATTGTGTGACTGACAATGTGGAAACCCATTAAGAGGAAAGGCCTGAAACAAAAATCTAATTGGGCCCAAGAAGGCCCTCTACCTCTGAAACTACTCTTATAAAAGTTTAATGTTGAATTTAAAATTTATATATCCATTTACATCGGTAGATGGATATGATATAAAATTATATACGTATCATAAGTTATTATGTCAGGGATTTGAATCTTATGATTCCCACCTGGCACACACCTCTACTTTGAGGACCCACTTTTTTGACAGATGTTAGCTTCTTCATTTGCATGCCATATCTCACCAGTCACCTCACCTCACCTCACCTCACCTCACCTCACCTCCTCTCCTTTTGTAGACTGTGTATATATATATATATATTCAGAAGTTGAGTATAGAAGTGCAATTGGTGTCGATGGGTAGTTGGATGGTTGGGTCTGTGGCTATATGCTTGTTGGTTTTTGTATTGGTCGTAAAAGGAGGTGGTTTTGGTGAGCAAAAGAGGTTTTGGGGGTGGGAGCCATTGATTCGTTCACCTGTGGATCTGGAAGAAGATGTGGATGAAGCTGAAGCAGATGGGGCGACCAGATGGGCTGTTCTGGTGGCCGGTTCCAGTGGATACGCGAATTACCGCCATCAGGTAAGCTTCCGGTTGCCTTAATTTATTTGCAAATATATTATGCTTTTTGTTTAATTCAATTGGATTTGGTTCATTGGTCGAGTACTTGAGCTTAATAGGATAACACACACACACACACATACTGAAGTAATTTCACGTTTATGTAATTATATTATACCAACCATTAATTATATACTAGATGGGTATTTACGTAATCGAGAGTGATATGATTTTTATTTTAATGTTCTGGTTTTTTTTTTTTGATATAATTTAAAAAAACAATATTTTTAATTTTGAATAAAAATAAATTTAAAGATATAATAAAATTTTAAAAAAATATATAAATATTAATATTAAAAAAAGGTTTTATTTGATTCACCAAAATAGGTGGAACAAGATCTTGGGAGAACGAATATTACTCTACCAGTATGATATATAACCTTCCTATGATATTTGTTTTAGTAGTCACTGCTGCGGGTCGTGGCCATAGCAACCACCGGTGGCCATCGTCAGCCACCTCCGCCTATGATCTTTCACTACAATCTCCTCCTCCACTGCTTTCTTCGCAACCACCATCGGCCGTCAACTATTGTCGACCGCCACTACTACCACTATCCACCATTTTCATGTCCTCCACCATAGACCACCGACCATCACAACCCGTTCCCACCACCATTAGTACCATCGGCCGGTATCACCTCCACAGATGTATTTATTTATATAAAAATTGTATAAAAATGTTTGTAATTTAAATTATTTAATCATTTATTTTATTTGTGTTAATTATAACTATTATAAAATCATTAAATTACTTTTGGAGGCAAGTTGTTTAGTTCTATCATGTTCGGTTCTAGTCGTACCAAACACCTGACATTGTTGTATAATGTGCAGTCATGTCCAATAATGTCTCCGTGTCAAACTTTACCTAATGAATTACAAGTTTAATTGACAAAAAAATATCATTTCAATCCTATTATAAATTATTTAAATGAAAAAGGTTTAATAAAACAAGTAAAATAATTTAAATGAAAAATTAAACTCTTGTTTCATTGTAATTAAGAAGTGTCTTAAATATTTTATTAATGATTTCATGAATAAAATAAACAAATAAATGAAAATAAAAAAATGCAGGATTTTAATTTAAATTACCGTTTCCTTTACTTAAAGTGGTAATTAGTTTTTTTTTTAAATTTAAATTTAAATTTAAATTATATTCAAAAGGTTAAATCACAATTTTCAATAATTCAGCTGTTCAATTATAACACACTTGTTGAACTCTCATTTTGCATTTGGATTAAGTAAAGGATTTTTGTCCGAATGACACAGACTACCCCGTAAATGCTGACTCTGTAAATAGGCCTCTCTTCAGTCAGCATCTCGGCCAATAACATTTGTTGGTCATAATCTCTCTTATCCAATAAGAAGGTTATAAGCACTTAGTAATTGTAGTCTTCTCGAATCATGAAATTGTCAATGTGTTACACGTACAGCAACGAACTGGAAAATGGAAGATGTTCAATGCTGAGCAGTTAAGAGGGTAAGGGTAAAAGAGAATTTTACTTATCAAATAACCAAATGCTTCATGACTGAATAAGAGGTTGAATCCGTACAACTCAAAACTACTTTGTGAAGAATCTCAGGGGTCGTTTACCAAACGCTTACTCGGGTAAGTGAACACCAAGTCACATTACCTTATCGAATGAATATAGTATAGACCAAGAATTTTACCCGGTAAGAGCGAGACAAGGACCAAGAGTCTTACCCAGTAAGTGAGGGCGACGACTCTTACCACGGTAAGTGCTTACCGGGTAAATTGTTGCATACGATACCGTTTTAGTGGATTAAAATCTTACCCGGTAAGTAAATGATAGTGTTAAATTTTACGGGTAAGTATTTGGTAAACGGCTCCTCACATCTTTAGGACACGTTATTGAAGTATTCAATTATTTGCTTAATCAATTTGAAAATTGATCCATAACATCTCGTAAGATTAGAATTAATAGAATTGATACCATTCTGTTCAAAATATACAATACTTGTAGCATGAGATTTAAATCCATTCTGTTCTTTTGGGTGCGAGTTCCCTCTAGGAGAAGGAGGGTGGGGGGATTTTATATTTTGTTGGTTTGTGTTATTGAAGGCATATCTTTTTTGTACAACAGTCAGACGTTTGTCATGCCTATCAAATACTTAAAAAAGGAGGTTTGAAAGACGAAAACATCGTTGTGTTCATGTACGACGATATTGCAACAAGTGAAATGAATCCAAGGCCTGGGGTCATAATCAATCATCCGCAAGGCGATAACGTCTATGCTGGCGTCCCAAAGGTACATTCTCATCACAAAACTCAATTGCTAAGTGAACATACATACATATGTCCATCAGTTGAATGTGTTTTTTGGCTGTAATCGTTACAACTGATGGAAATTATTTTTATAGGATTACATTGGGGAGGATGTTACCGTAGATAATTTGTTTGCCGTGCTTCTTGGTGACAAAAATTCTGTGAAAGGTGGAAGTGGGAAGGTTGTCGATAGCAAACCTAATGACCGAATCTTTTTTTACTACTCAGATCACGGCGGTCCCGGAGTGCTTGGTAAGTGTTGAAGAATTTCATTCAAGAATACAACAAAGAATGATATACGATATGCATGATGCATTTAATATAGTCTACCTTTGATTGTAGGGATGCCGAACCAGCCTTATCTTGTAGCCAACGACTTGATTGAGGTCTTGAAAAAGAAGCACGCAATGGGCACATACAAAGAAATGGTAATGTATTATGCTTAAATATGTTGATAATGCGAAGACATTATTTAGAACTCGTGGTCTCGGAAATAATTAAAATTAATAATTATATATTGTAGGTTATATATATAGAAGCATGCGAAAGTGGAAGCATGTTCGAAGGGATGATGCCTGAAGATCTGAATATATATGTTACAACAGCATCAAACGCTGAAGAGAGTAGTTACGGAACGTATTGTCCAGGGATGGATCCATCTCCTCCACCCGAGTATATAACTTGCTTGGGAGATTTATATAGCGTCGCTTGGATGGAAGATAGGTCCGTACTAATTGTTTAATAATTATATATATGCAACAAAACTTGCACACACACTTTGTGATGCTTGAACCCTTAACCTTAAGGAGGTTGAGATCTACTGATAATCTGGATTCACTGGGACAGCTATTAACCCTTTGGTTTGTCTAGATTTTATGTAATTGGTCTTCAATAGTTTCTAAGGTTTTATGGGATATCCTAATTGAAGTTTTGCGGCTTATTTTCACCAGCGAGACACATAACCTGAAGAAAGAATCGTTGGAGCAACAATTCAACAAGGTTGGAGACTAAATCTTCTACTCCTATACACGATTGTCGTATTATCTTTACTGGCTTAAGATTGATGAAGTGTAATATATTCTTTTAGCATTTTGATATGTAGTTGTCAAGATTGTTGTTAAGTAGACACATTTTCTGTGTACAGGTGAAGTTGAGGACATCAAATTACGACACCTACAATTCGGGGTCACATGTGATGGAATATGGTAACAAAGACATTAAACCTGAGAAGGTCTATTTGTATCAAGGATTTGATCCGGAAACGGTAAACCTCCCAGCTAATGGCATCGACTTCCATAAGAAGATGGATGGTGTAAATCAAAGAGATGCTGATCTAATATTCTTGTGGCAAAAAGTGAGTATTAATTTGTGATTTTGTTATGCTTTCCAGGTACAAGAGGTAGGCTTCTGGTTATATTGGCGTGTTTTGACACTTACACCCACACACTATATATATACATACATATATATTGGAATCTTCGTTCTTTTTCTTTTTCTTTTTCTTTTTCTTTTTCAGAGGCTGTTTTGGGATGTAATCTAATTGGGTTTCATATATCTTCGCATATACAGTACAAGAAGGCATCAGAATCAAATAGAACTGAAGTTGGGAAGAAAATAACAGAGATGTTGGCACATAGGGCACATTTAGATAGCAGCATTGACACGATAGGGATACTTCTATTTGGACCAGAAAAAGGTCGTTTGATCCTCCACTCGAATAGAGGGCGTGGGCTACCTCTAGTGGATGATTGGGAATGCCTTAAATCTACGGTATTTTATGTTTTGCTTACATAGATTAATTTTGTGGTTAATTATATTAGCTGAGACGTAGTTTTGGTAACTAAATGATGGGAGACTGGTTGGGTTGTAGGTTCGGTTGTTTGAGAAGCATTGTGGGTCGCTAACTCAATATGGCATGAAGCACATGCGAGCGTTTGCAAACATTTGCAACGAGTTGGTCAGGAAGGAGGTAATCGAGGAAGCGTTTATAGCTACGTGTGGTGGTAAGAATATATTGTCATATGCAACCACCGGAGCTTATAGCGTTTGACGCCAATTAATGTTTACGTATGAAATCTCATGTTAATGTTATCACCAGGACATCATGTTGTTTAATTATAGTCTGCTTTTACTTATTGTCCTTTAAAATAAGGTAAGCAATGTGAATATCCTCGAAGTTGTAACACAAAATTTATGTTTTAATTAAGGTTGTTAGATTCGCGTCGATTCTTTATTCATTTAATATCCTTTGAAACCGTTAAGAGTTCAGTGCTCACAAGTGGTCCATTTGTTGAAGAATTGTGGACTCATATTGCAAGTGTCTGAGGTTAACTTATGTAAATATGTGTATCACATGAGTTTACATACGAATCCATTTATGGTCTATTTATAATAGTTACGAGATTACCCATTTATCTTCTGCACGAATTATTCGGTGTTTTATGGTTAAAGAAGTAAATGTTGACTAGATGAAGGGCTAAGATCTTTTATTTATTTCTCAAATACTTACTACTTCTCAAATGAAACTTTTCTTACATATATTAAAAGTGATTATTTATTCAGATCTTTTACGATTCTTATCATAACTTCGTTTATCATACAATCATTCTTCTATATTTAGTTATATATCAACAAAATTGGTCATGTAAATTATGCAATAAATTTGTGTTTGGGAAAATACCAAAATAGAATGAGACAATAAAGATGATGAATGTAGGCCAATATTTGTTGCTTCAAGTTCAAGATGTATACTAATTAAGCACTAGGATGGATAGTGGCCTAAAATCCCATCTTATCTCCAAGTTTATTTCAATATTTATTATATCTTATCTTAATTTTACTATAATACTCTCATAGTGCATGTGTTGCCAAATATACATATAGGGCCTACCTCAGGGATATAAAATACAATTAAGATATATAGCTTTTGAAATTTGGCATATATTCCTTTTTTTTTTTAACTTAAAAGATTATCTATTATCATCCAATAAAACTTATAATTTTGAGTCAACTATATATGTGATGGTGTGCACTGACTTAATGATATATAAAATTGCTTATTCACTCTTACTATAGAAAGTCAAGTTTTTATCAAACTTGTCCCTTCCAATTAAAACCACTTTACTTTTGTCTATGGAAAAACCAGTCCAATAAAAAGTTTATCAATCCATACAAAGAGATTAATTAATCTACGCAGATAGTTTTATTCATACATGACTTGTCGAAAACCAATCAAACTGTCCTCTGTTCATTTTATATAAAATTTGGATACTTTTTATACAAAGATTGGATTAGTAATTAGTTTATATGTAAGGATCGAATGAATATTCGTGGAAAGTTATACTAATCTAATTATTAGTTAAGGATCGGATATTCATGGAAAGATATATGAATCTAATTATTAGTTTGGTGTTGCCATTTTTTCTCAAGTGTTTCTTCATAACTTAATATTTAATTAGATTAATAGTAATTTTAATAAAAAATTAAAAACCTTTTAAAAATTTAAAAGCCTTTTAAAAATTATGTTAATAATTTATTAAGCAATGCTTTTATATTTTAATATGATATTGGGTTTGGATTATCAACTATTGGGATTTGGGATGTCTTGTCATACAATAATAAAAAGACAGGATGCTAGTATTTTATAAAATAAGAAAATATAATATAATTTTCTTGTTTGGAAAAATGATATACATATATACCTTACGAGGCGAGGATTTGTGTGAGATAGATAGTTAATGTGAGAAGTGTAAGAAGGAATCTAAATTCTTGATCACTTTCAATCTCAAACTCACCTATGAATCGCATTTGATACAGAGGAGGAGCCAAGAATTTTGAATGAGGGGAGTCCGATCTTTCAACGTCACTTTGTTAAGTAATAGCGAACACTCGGACTAAAATGGTACTCTGATATGAAGTTAATATGGTCCAAGTCTGATATATTCTCAATTAATTCCACCTTTTAAAAAACAACTTATAATATCTCAAGATCAACGATTGGCTGGGGCTTGGATTTTTTTAACATGTAGATATTTTTCATTATAATATTATATTCGAGTATACATTCAAATAATTTTAATTAATCAAGGTTTAAATAGTTAAGTTTTTTTTTAAAGTTATGTTATTTCCTAGAAATATTACTAAGGATTGATCTCCGATGAGAAGAAGAGTCAAGGTGAAAAGTGTAAGAAGAAATCTCTAGTTTTTGATGCATGCACATTACGATAAAATGCACCGTGATGCATCCAATCACTCCTCGTATCACACACGATACTAATTAACTTACCTATTGTGATATATATGGGGGTTGAGCCTCTTTATTTAATATTAAAATCTTTTTATAAAACAAAGCTTAATGGGGTTGGACATGTATTGGAGGTGGCTTGGCAGTCCTCTTGAGTACGCCTCTGGCTTAATATGAGGATTGATCCGATGCATCTTGATGAATCTCATTTTAAGATGCATCTAATGGTGAAAATATTTTTTTTACGTTTTTCTTCATAACTCTATCTTAATTAACTGTTCAAAAAGTATTTCATTCATTATCACCATAATTGAAATAAAATACGAATAAATGTGTTTACATCACGTCATGTAAAATTATAATTTTGTTGGACGGGTCTTAGAAGGTCAATTATTTATTCATAACAAATAAGGCGATGATATTTAATCATTTATGTGAGTAAGTTTTAGATTTGGTCCTCACAATTTTCATATATGATCAAACTCGTTACTAACTTTTATTTATTCTACATTTGTTCTTGACATTTGTAAATTTATTCAGTTTTGGTCCTTCATCGTTAGTTTTTTCTGTTACATCCAACCAAACAAGAGATACTATCGTCTTTTTCATCATTCCATAAAATTGTCTATTAAAAATTATATATTATTATAAGAAAAGGAACAACAGAGGAGAAAGAAAAAGGAGACCCCCACCTCTCCTCCTTTCAACCGACGATTTAAACTACGCCAACCATCTCCATATGCTGCAACAAATCCACTTGTTCGATCACCAACAAAACCACCGCCAAGGGATGATGCACCCCTATAAATCCACCAGATGGCAGTGGAATCAAGTCGTTCCCAAGACCAACCGATCATATTTTTAATTAGTTTGAAGTTGGTTGTTATATTAATAGTGGGTAAAGGACATTAAGAATGATTGTAAATAGTGGAAGATGCACATCCTTACAAGACTTTTTGTGTTAATGAAGGTCGTTTTCATAAGACATAAAATGGAATCTGTTTTGCCATTATCATTATCATTATGGATGGATTCCATAGAATTGGGTGATGTCCAGTTCCTTTCCCATCTTTTTCAGCTTCAATCAAGTGTAAACATGACATAATTCAATAGCCCACATCTCTTGTATTTTCATCATATTTCATTATTATTAATAATAATAATATATTTTCAATCACATATCAAAATATCTTACACTTATGATTGTAAACGAATCTTGGAAATAAACCATGGATATGTAAGCATGAAAACCGTAAATGAAGCTTTGTTGGATGCATAACTGGATGGTAACGAATATGAATCATGTGAACTTAGTCGGTTAAATAGTGAATATTGTAATCATAAAAATAACAGATAACAAAACTATATATATATATATATATATATATAGGGAGCGATCAAATGCAAACCACTCAATTTGTACAAACCGTGCAAACCGCATTCAACCAATCATAATTTTTCATTTTGTTCATTTTTTTGTAATTATGAGAGGTTGATTAATCATTTTTATTGTGGATGGTGTTAATCATAGATATTATCATCTTCATTATTTTAATTTTAGAGAAATACATGAAACAGTTTCATTAATGTTAGAGAAATACATGAAACAGTTTCATTAAGTATTATATGAAACAATTTCACAACCATATATGAAACAACTTCATCAAAAAAAAGTATTATATGAAACAATTTCACAAGATTAAACAATTTCATGAAAAAATTTCATAAGATTAAACAATGAAATCGACAGATGAAGGTGGTTTGCACAGTTTACACAAATGAGGACGGTTTTCATATGACCACTTCTCTCTCTCTCTCTCTCTATATATATATATATATATATATATATAAAGTTGGAAACCTCCACTTATGAGATAGAAAAGAGGTAAAACAGCGTGGAGCAATAATGGCATATTGGGAAGCAATATAATTGTGGAGCAATCACCTTCTCTATCAGTGATGACAATTCTTGTTTGGAATCGCCATTTTCAAGCCACCCTCTTTCTCATCTTCTATTGTTGCTATGCATCACTTAGTTTTTTTAGAAGCATCTGAAAACGAAATTATAGATAAAGGTAAACGTTTTGTTTTTTATATATCGAGGTATTTTTAATAATTTACTGAATAACGTATAAGTTTATGATGATTTAGACTTATAACACTGACTATATTATCAGTTTTCAACCACTTCAACAATATAAAGCACCAGTGTTCCCTTTCCTTTTTTCACAATCTCTCTCAATTATTTCTCCTTTCTCAATGGTGTCTTGGCATTTGGCTCTCAATTTCAGCCTTTTGCTACTGATTCTAATCACACCATCCTTGGAAGGTGGTAGATCATCATGTCAATTAATTGGATCATGTTCACTCAACGTGGCACAAGATGCAGAAGATGATAGCACGACATGGGCGGTTCTTGTTGCTGGCTCAAATGGATACTATAACTATAGGCACCAGGTGAATATCTCTTCTGAATGTTTATTGTTTCCCTTTTATAAACCATATGATTTATTCTAGTTTCATGTTATATTAGGCAGACGTTTGTCACGCGTATCAAGTACTAAAAAGAGGAGGATTAAAGGATGAGAATATTGTAGTGTTTATGTATGACGATATTGCACATCATGAAAGTAACCCAAAGCCTGGGGTAATAATCAACCACCCTAAAGGTCATGATGTCTATGCTGGTGTACCTAAGGTATAATTTTATTTATTTATTCATTTATATGCTATTATTGTTTTTATATTATTGTTTTTGTCATAGTTTAAGGAGCGACATTAACTATTTATTATGTTATGGGTTATATATATTACCAAAAATTCACCATATCCTAACACTCTTACATAAAGAGAGGGTATTCACGAAAATTAACCACTCTACCTTATTGGAATAGAGACCAACTATGTATGCATCTCACCATTAATGCAGACCTTACTTTCGAGTTTTATTAATCGATGTTAAAGAGACCTCCTAACGAATACCACTTTCATTAGGTAATGTAAGAAGTTGGTGGTCTTTTTTTTATTTTAAGATAATATATTGTGAAAAACGATTTAAATAAGATGATGTTCATTATTTCAATCAGTGTTTGTTGGTGTCATTATAATTTAAAAGTTGTTGACTTGTTGATATTTATTTATGTTTATATGAACTACTCATCATTATTATTAAGAAATTTTAAGATACCAAGTTCAATCACTAAATGATGGTAATGATATTTATTTTATTTTTTTATTAAGTTGACAAATAATTAACAGAAAATGTGATTCTCATGCATGTGTTTGAAAAGAAATTAATGGGACGTAGGTTCACATAACAAGTGTTATAGCTAGAGATGGTTATCTATAATCACCTCTAGAAAACATGTCTACCCTCTAAATTTAGATTAAATTACATTTTTCGTTATGATGGTTGCCGCTTTAGTATACTTTTGAACCCTGTGACTAACGTACCGTTAAAAAATTCTATTAACTCAAGAGTATTTTGGTATTTTTACTCTTTTATATTGTCTTTTTCTTATTTTATTTTATTAAAAAAATTCTCTTAAAAACACCGGCCCCACCCACTCTACAATCGTCCCAAACAAACTAAAAACATATCCACTGAAATCATAGGACACAAACCAAATTCATATCCAAATGAAAACAAACTTATATTCAAATTATTACGAAACAAATCCACCTAATAGATGAGGGTTTGTGTTTGTTTGAGTGGTGCAAAATATTACAAAACTAGAAAAATAGGGAAAGGAGGTCGATGACCCCCCAGTGGCGACACAGTAGCAAAAAGGACGGGGAAAGGACCCCAGTCAAAAACTCAAAAAAAAAAAAATCCTAGGTTAAATTTTAGGTTTTACATGATTTACCTTTTACTTCCCCCCGTTATATTTTTCCACGGGCCTCCAATCCCAATCCAAACTGTTACTCTAACCAAAAAATCTATTGAAATCAATCAAAAAAACCAAAAAAGTTATTCGAAATCGACAAAAACACTAAAAAATCCCCCGAAATCAACAAAAAAAACTTTAAAAATCCCTCGAAATGTTGTAATTAGGTTAAAAACACATAAGACGATTTTGCGGATCTTTAGTCTACCTTAAAGATGACCCCAGTAGACAAAAATCCTGGATCCACCACTGCCCCCGGTTTTCTGAATTGGCCCTTTATACGATGATGAATTTTTAGGTTCTCTTTTTGAATCAATTTATATAGCCTCTTGCTGAAATGGGAGACAAAGGGTCGAGATCTCCTATCCATGGCCTATGATTCCGAAGGAGGGAGGGAGGTTCTACGAACTTTTACAAAGTATATTTTATATCCACTTAAAAAAATGACATTAAAAGACTAATAAAATGATATATCACTTATGTTAAATATTATATTTATTTTTGTTGATAAAACTTGTTAAATTGTATAATAAAAATTATATATTTTAAAATCTTTAAAGATTTTTTTCATCATAGTGAATAGACTAAAAAGTTGGTCGTGTATTTTTAGTGAGAAATAAATATATTTTTATGAAAATTATTAAATTCGAATATATTATCAAAAGTAACATATAATATCAAGAAACTGAAATTATTGGTAACCTATTGATATCACGTCATATGAAATTGAAAGGCATGTGTCCTCGCACAAGTTGCATATATTCCATAAAATAAGTGTTCTCGTACATTATTTTAAATTAAATATAACTATTTTATTTTTAATTAACTAAATAATAAACTTATTTTAAAATAAGATAATTTTTTTTTCTCCAATTCATAATTAAAAATAAAATTAAAAAATAAAATAAATATATTTTTTTTCATCATAGTGAATAGACATGGAGTATCATACCCGTCCCCATCCCCGATTTAGTGGGGAATCTCCGTCCCCAACCGGAGCGGGTGGATAGGTTTCCCCGATGAGTTGAAGCTGATTCCCATGCCTAAATTAGAGGTAGTCAAAAAGGATGAAGACCTAATTAAGGATCATATGATCGATTATACCTCACCACCCTTCAATCATAGGCAGTCACAATTGTTCTTGTCTAACAAAAGACAGAAACAAATGTACGATCTGTTTTACCCGAAAGAAACCTCATCCCTCTTTTTTTTTTTCGCCTCCATATACATAATAATATTTTCTCAAAAAAAAAAGTCTTGATATTATTATTATTATTATTATTATTATATCTATATATGTAATTAATTAACATATATGTTATTTGAAGGATTACACTGGGGAGAGCGTGACAAGCAGCAATCTGTATAGCGTGATTCTTGGTGACAAAAGATCAGTGAAAGGCGGAAGTGGGAAGGTGGTGAATAGTAAAGCAAACGACAGGATCTTCATATATTACTCTGATCATGGAGGCCCAGGAACACTTGGTATATATATTTCTTTTCATTTTAATTTAATTTCTTTTACAGAGATATTTATCATGGTTTAATTATTCAAACGATAATTTATAATCATTAATTGATATATTAAATAGGAATGCCAACCTCACCAAATGTATATGCCAAGGACTTCATTCAGGTTTTGGAAAAGAAGCATGCTGCTGCCACTTACAAACAAATGGTATTACTAGCTCGCCTTATATATATATATACACACACACTTAATTCATAAATTCATTACTAATATATAACCATATATCGATCGAACCTTACTTTGAAGCCAAGTAATCGACATCAAATGTCACTTGTATATATAGGTTATATATGTGGAATCCTGTGAGAGTGGGAGCATCTTCGAAGGTTTGCTGAACGAAAAAATGAACATTTATGTCACAACAGCCTCAAATGCAGACGAAAACAGTTGGGGAACTTATTGTCCGGGTATGGAACCTCCCCCTCCACCCGAATACGATACTTGCTTAGGGGATCTCTATAGTGTTGCTTGGATGGAAGATAGGTACGTTAATTGATTACTATATATGTCATCCTCCATTAATTCTAACTAATTATATGACGGAATTTCGATGCTCTTAATTAATTAGTGACCAACAAGAAGCTAACGGAGAAACATTGGAGCAACAATATAAGAAGGTTAGCGTCGATCGACAACCATTAATTAATTAAGAGGTTATTTTTTTAATTAACTTTGATTAATATATAACTATGAAATGATTTTAGGTAAAGTTGAGGACTTATAATAACAATAGCTCCCAAGGATCTCATGTAATGGAGTATGGTACTAAGGACATTAGATTGGAGAGCATTTCTCTTTATCAAGGTTTTGGTGCATCTAATATCTCCATGTTTATTAACGACGACACTAATGTTCCTATGGGAGTCGTTAATCAAAGAGACGCAGATCTCGTGTTTTTCCAAACAAAGGTTATGATTCTTAATTTATATAGTTTTATGGAATCTAAATTTAGTATTCCAAAGTTACTTTATACTAACGTTATATATATACGTACATATATAGTACGAGAAAATGATGGAAGGATCGGAAGAAAAAAGGGATATGCTGAAGCAAATGAATGACATAAAGAGCCATAGGTTACATCTGGATGCTAGTGTTGATGCGATTGGGGAGCGACTATTTGGGTCAGGAAGCGGTCGCTTGGTTCTTAGTTCTCTTCGAGCTCAAGGAAAGCCATTGGTCGATGATTGGGGATGCCTTAAATCTATGGTAATTAATCAAGACATCGATCTATCTTAATTTGGCTACAATTATATATATTCGAGTATTAAGAACTAATTGTTGGTGTTTTGTAACGTTAATTTATATAGGTTCGAGTGTACGAGACACATTGTGGTGCATTGACTGAATATGGGATGAAACATATGAGAGCATTTGGCAACATTTGTAACAATAAGGTGAGTGGGGCAGCCATGGAGGAAGCTTCTATAGCTGCTTGTAGTGGGTATGATGAAATTGGCGAGTGGAGTCCATTGAAGAAGGGATATAGTGCTTAATTCATTGTGTTACAAACAAAAACGATTATTGTGCATACTAAGATTGTCTAAATATAAAGGCCGGTCGATGTTGGTCTAAATAATTGTAAATATAACATCTCTAGAGCTGCTTTTACTTTGAATCAAATACTTGTAAATATATATCTTATAAACGTAAGATATTTTTGTCCCTTCAAGATCGATCATGCAACTTACAGTCAAAAGTTGCTAGTAGTAACTTTACAACAATTTGTGGGTTCTATGTCAGTGATACATGTCGTAAATCATGATCGCATATGTTTCTTTAGAATTAAACATTACTTAGGCGAGGGTCCACTTTATACTTCTGATCAGCTAGCATTTTGAATTACTGTAGACGTACAAAGCAGGAATGAGATGGGGCACCTACTCTACTAGTTGTTTTGTTCTCTCGATGTCATCCTTATCTAGGTACAAGAAGGACATTATAGAGTATCTCCCAAATTATTGATGAATTACCGGTGGTAAAAAGTGTTGCAAATGCCGCCAATCAGTAGAACTTAAAAATAGTATTTATCAACCAAGTTTTTTCATTCATCCATTCTACACAAATCAATACAAAAAAATTTGATTTTATAGGATGTCTAAGCATACTAATAGAATAGTTTATAGAACTTAAGTTTATAGGACCAAACTATAAAACATCATATCTAAAAGTGTTACAATAAGTTTATAAGAAGTTTTTTTTTCAGACGTTTTTAAAATAAAGTGTCATGTTAGTTATTGGTATAGGACACATTTGATAAGTATATGATAATCTCATTTTTTTTTATAAGACAATTTCTTATAAAATAATTAATACCACAATTTATTATAAAGACATATCCCAAAAACTAAACTTGTTAAGAGGTGTAAACATATCTTATAAACCTATTGTTACGCTTTTAGATATGACGATTTTTTGGTTTGGTCCCATAAACTTAAGTATTATTTTAGGACACTTGTACATTTTAATTTGTCCTATAAAATCAATTTTATTGTAATACGGGTAGGTTTTGTTTTATAATAGTGTGATGGTTTAGACGCTTGATTTTGATGATTAATAAGTTGGAAGTTATCGTTTTCAAGAAGGTAGCATATGAAAGTTATGTATCATGATATTGTATTAGATTCTACTTTTTAGTAACCGATAATTGCCAATCTTTTAAAAAAAGGTAATGAATTATGTAGCCTACTCAAATTCTATATTTCCCTTTTTAACCTAACAATAGGCATGATTAGTTCGTGATCAACATCATATATATCACGATTTTATGTATTTCATTTAATTGCGTAAACCAATAAGTATTTCATGTAACTTTTTTGTTTGTTAACCAAGTGTTCAAGTTAGTTCGCATACACCTTAACTAATTTTACAGGGCCTTAAAAAATGGTTAGAAACATTTTCAGAAAATTAAGGTAGCGTTTGGTACGCAGACATAATTGGACATGACAGGACAAAAGGGTAGGACTAGACAGGACTGAACATAACAGAAGTATGTCTTGTGTTTGGTACGACTAGGACTGGACGGAACAGAACTAGACAAGCTACCCCCAAAAATTATTTGATGATTTTAAATATTATATAATAGTTATAATTAACACAAATAAAGTAAATAATTAAAGAATAAATATTTGTACATAATATTGATATTTGTACCAAATTTGAATGAAAAATTTAATATAATTGATGGTAGTAGTAGTGGTAGTGGAAGCGGTTTTGGTTATGATGGTAGTGGCAACGGGTGGTGGTGGTCGGTGGCCGACAATGGTTATGAAGGTAGAGGTAGTAGTGCTTGGTGGACGACGATGGTTATAGAAGACATGAAGATGGTAGATTGTAGTGGTGGTGGCGGTTGACAACGGTGGAGGAGGTAGTTGTAGTTGATGTAGTGAAGATAGTGGTGGTGGTGGTTATGGTGGAGGTGAGGTGGAAATGAATGGTGGTGACCGCCAGTGGTGGCGGCGGCCGAAACTAGCGGTAATGACCATTAAAACAAATATCATATTAAGGTTATATATCAAACTAGGGTAGATTAGTAATATTTTTGTTTTTGTCTCATTTTTGTCCCATCTTGTTCCACCTATTTTGGTGGAACACGAGAAAACCTCTTTTGTCCTATGTTGTCTCACCTTGTCCCAGTTTTTGTCTCTGTCCATGTCGCGCCAAACGTGGGACAATGAATTCTTGTTATGTTTCATGCTGCGCCAAACATGGGACAGTGGGTTTTATCCCGTTCTGTCCTATCCCATCCCATCTCATGTACTAAACGCAGCCTAAAAAACCCGAACTAATAACCTATGGAGCACATATTCTCATACTAAAAAATCAAGCAAATGAAACATCAATTCCAATTATCAACATTTGTTTTTTAGCAATCATAAAACGATTGGACTACTTCTAATTAAAGGTATAACAAACAAGATTAAAGTAAATAAGTTAAGAGGTTATATATCGAACGTGGATGATACGTAAAGCCAAAATACAACAAAGTTTTCTTGGTTCTTATTTAACGGGAAGATTAATTTTTTTAATTAATATAATAAACATATAATTCTTTTTATTTATATTTTATGAGTATTATAATAGTTTCAGCTTCAGCTTCAGCTTCGGTTTCAGTTTGTCCGGAATAAATGCAAATTAACGTTGTCTAATTTCAAAACATCTTTACATCCATTTAAAGAAAATGAAGATGCTGTTAAGTGTTAAGTATGAATAAAATCTAAGAAAATATGTAATATTATGTATTTAAAATCATAACTTGGTGGGTATTATTGTATAGAAAATCCAGATCTTATTTACAACTGGCGAAAAACAAAATCTAAAAAAACAAACACTCGAATTTAGCAAACCCACAAATCTTCATCACAGAGTAAGACGCCAGCTCCGTCGTGGACGGAATCCGTCCGATCCACCACAACCACCGGCGGCGTTAATCTTGGTTTGAACGTTCTCGAATTCAGATATCCGGCAAGGTACATGGATCCCGCCGTGATGATTAAACCCATACACCTTTTCTGCTTCTCTCAACAAATCCCCAAATAATGGATGATTGAAGTAAATCACGGGCACCAAAACCCTATGTGCAGCGTCTTCTTTCTCACCAACGTAGACCGCCAAATGCCCTTTCGGAATCGGATTCTGTTCTTCCTCCCCGAGGCGAATGTAATTGGAATTCGATATCCGGCAGCATATATTTTTCTTCAAAGAACGAGCGAATCCGCAGAGTTTTGATATGGCTCTGGCGGTGTAAGTTGGAGGGTTTAATCGTAGATAATCGGAATGAATTTGTCTCCGATGAAGTCCCCGTTTGATGAGCTTTACGAGCTTGTGTCTGATTCTAAAACCTCGGATTTTGTTCATGGTGATTTGAAGGAGGAGGGATGCAAGTGTGTGTGTATTTATATGGAGATTGTTTATGGGAATATGCGGAGGGAAAGTGGGGAGTGGTCGGAAGATGGTCCGGTGGGATTTGGAAGCACGGAAATAATTAAAACGGAAAGGGGAATCATTAAGAAATAGAAAACGGAAAAGTCAAAGCTTTGCACGCATCTGTGTGTAACTTCCATGGACGCTTCCTGCCAATTTCTCTTTTTTGTGGTCAAACTCTTTTCTTCCTTTCGCTTCTATTTTCCCCCACAAATAATTCATAAAAATCGTTATTTATTCTTCTTTATTGTATGTGAGGAAGGTTCAAAAAAATCTAAAATATGGAATAAGATCAGTTTTATTAATAAAATAAAAAATAATAGAAGTAGATTTAGATTTTAATTTATCTGTTTTTATATTATAGATTCTGGTTATGTTTTAGTAACTAACTCATAAGTTTGTTGACGATTGATAATCTAATTTTTCAAAATACATTTAATGGAATCAATCGTTATATTGTTTTTGAAGAGGGGAATCTTGATAAAAAAAAATCAAAGGATGAAAACAAGAGAAATATAACAAGGTAGTAGATTTTATGTGATATTGTTTGCGTTTTGATGTTATTCTTTTTTTGTCACGTACGTCACCATCATTTTTTTTCCAATATGGTCCCTACTTACGTTTGTACTTCTTGTACCTTTCTTCTAGTGACACATTCTCTACGTTACTACGTATCAATCAATATATTAATGACCACACCAAAATTTTATTATAGTCGATAATTAAATAGAGTAATTATGTAATATTTTATCTGTTAACCCTTTCAATTTTATGTTTGTTTCTAGGTGTGTCGTTTCAATATGGAATATTTTTTTATGGTAAATTGTCTAAAGGGATTTTATTTTTTTGAAGATAGAGTATATACAGAAATTAGCAAGGTTGATACCTTGCTATTTTAAAATCATTTCACCATTTTTTTCATTTGAAATCAATTTAATAAAATAAATAGGACTCACGAGTTATGTCGTTATTAAGATATGATTAATGATCAGATTAAATATTAACTTTCATCATTAAAAACGTTAATACAAACACTTCATATCTTCCAACAAACATATATACCTTTTTCTTGATTTTCAATTCCGTAAACATATGCTCTCATAAAAACTCTAAACTCAAATTCTCAAGTACAGGTTGGATAAAATTATGTAGAACATACACTATACAAGAAGGGGGGAGATGGTGGTTTCATATATTAATACCGAAAAGAGTATATAATAAGTTATTACCATGCGATTATGAGCTTAAAATCCTTCTTACTTGACGAAATGTAAGCTTAAGAACTCTCTATATCTTCTCTTTCTTGTATTGAACGTTGAGGAGTAAATGCACAAAAGTCTTGACTACATTAAATGATACTCGAGGCGTTTGGTTTGATGAAATGGTTTTGGGGGATTCAAATTTTGTGAAAGAATTTGGATCTAGAAGGATTTGAAATAATTGGTGTGTTTGTTTAGTAGGATTTGAAATGAAATTGAATTCCATTTTTTTAATAAATAGTTATAATATTAATCAAATTGCCTTTTTATTAATTTTATTATTAAAAAACAAATGTTTCAACACATTTTTAAACATTATTACACATAAATCATAAGAAATCCTACGAAATACCAACAAACCCCATGAGATTTCTAAATCCAGTGCTTGTGGGATTTCATTGGATTCCAAGTCCAAGCAATCCTTCAAACAAAAATGGGATTTGAATGGAATTGAATTTCAAATCCTATAAATCAAATGGGGTCTAAGTCTAATTGAAGGTTGAAATCATGCATGCTATCTCCCACACGCAACACTGCCTCGCACAACCAGTGCCGCTCATGTCTTCCATCATCCTCACAAGGTTGTTCATGGTTTGGTAGGCTAAGGCACACCTAATATTGGCTAGCTCTCGAAACCTATATCGAAAACTCCAAGGATCAATATTTTTTTTGTATGGACTAAATGTTGTAACCATGGTTGTGATGGCAAATGCATGTACCCTACTGTGGGTTTGGCGTCACCAAATCCCGACCCCTTAACTCCACGACGTTGCCTATTTTCAATGCCTATGCTACAAGGACTTGCACTAACCATTAAAAGTAGTGAATGAAAATATAGGGGTTTTTTTTTCCCTTTTTTCTTGATAGGATGTTTCATAATGAACTTCCAGTAGGTCAAATTTTGTTTTGTGTTGAGCATAATAGGTTTTTCGGGTTAGGTCGATTTTCTTGGGGCCTAACCTAGAAAAAGGCTTGATTTTGGGTTTTGTTAACATGCAATTGATAAGAGTTCATTTAGGGTAACACTCTTTTTGGTGTAACCTCGAGACTTGGGGTACCAACACAACGGCTATGGTCTATAAATTCTCAACGTGTTCAAGTTATTTTAAAAGTATAAGCCAATTGATTCCAGGGGCGAATTTCCTTCTCATTAAAATCCCATTTTATCACCACAAACCATTTATAGCGACGACAGGATGCACTAATAATTTAGTGTTTTCACACTTATTTATTTACCTAAAAGTAGCTTATTTTCTTATTTACATCCCAACTTTGAGTCTTTTATCTTCTTATTTTTTATTTGTTGTTTCTTGGAGCTAAATGTTATTATTTACTTGTTTTAGGATAAATAAATGATTAACTTACTTATTTTAACAGATCGTTCATGTTGAAGCATTGCTGCAGCATAAGGTAGCAACTAGAGATGGAGGGTGGTAACTTGAAAACCAATGAGAGTGGCTAAAAGAAAATTTGTTGGAAGCTTAGAGAACACTTTTGTGTGTACTTTAGACATGATGGTTTTAAGTATGTGATTTTACTTTTCTACCCCTCTAGGATTATATAAATAGAGGGGTTTTGCTTCTTACTTTTTGCATGATTTATAATCAGATGTGATCTGGTTGTGTTTAATATTTTAAAGTCATTTAACTTGTGTCTTTATTATATTAATTGTGGTATTTTCTTACCTGTTATTCTTTACATTGTCTTGCTCCAACATTATTTTACGCTCTTTATTCATTTATGCTTTTAGTTCTTTACATTACACTATTTATTTTCAGTCATTTATATTTATGCATATAATTTCTGTCATTTACATTTCTTGCAATTAACTTTTCGTTATTGAGTAGCTAATCTTATTAGTTTGGGTGTGAGACGGAAATGTGAGATTGTAAACCAAAGGAAGGTGGACGTTGTTTCGCAATAACAATATTGCACCATTTTATTTCAAGTTGTATAAAACAAATGATACTTCTTGACATGTTGATCACTTTGAAAAGTGTTAAAGTGTCGTGGACTCAGAGATGATCCACTCAAATGCATGTCAATTTGAATGATATGGAAGTAGACTTGATAAATTACTAACAAAGAGATTTGTTATCTATGATTTCCAAATTGGTTAATTCTCAACAAATTGGTCACTTATTGAAGTGTTAAGGTGGAGTGGACTCAAAGATGAGTCATTCGGAACACATCAACTTGAATGATATGAAAATTCATTCGAGAGAGTGATTTTATACAAAGAGATCTGTTGTCCATATATTTTGAGGACTTCATTTTGCATTACCACTAGTATGATACTACACAGAGATGTGTGGTTGAATCTAAACATTGATGCAAATGTTGAAAGTCCGAGAGGAATACCCTCAAAATAGATGATGGAACTAGTTATGACCTACTGTACGTTGTAGCATTGCTATAACATTGGTCTGCTGGAATTTGTGTTTAAGTCTCACCAAAAAGTCTTACACCCTTGCTTGTTTTATTATATGTTATTATAATTTAATATTAACTTACTCCAATTAAAGTCTATAAAATCATCATCTGAAACCATTTCTTTTGTTCTACTTTTAGTAAGCTTTTACTCTGACCCCTGTGAACGATACTTGATACTTGTACTATTCTATTACTTGAAAGATGATATTAAGGCTATTTGTATACTTGCTTCTAATCCTAATCGCCACGTTTGAGGGTGTGTTAAAGCTCATGTCAGTCGCTATAGCTTGTGACGAATAACATGTCGTCGTTAAAGGCGTGTCACCAAATTCACTTTTTCTGTAGTGAGGTTAATCAGGTTAAAACACTTGGTCGGTACCATGTTACAATTACATATAAAATGAGTCTCGAGAAGATTACGGAACGGAACCATCCTGTAAGGTATGTGGATTGCCAAACCAAATCTTTTGTCATCCTCCATGTAACTTCCGTTAGCTCTAGCCTTTGAGTCGTGTCTGCTTTCTCTTGGGTTTGTCTCTAACAGCTTATTGTTGGTTGCTTTTGGTTTTTCGTGGTTCTTGTTTCCGGATGGTTTTCTCTTTTTTGATGGTTCTCTCTTTCTTGGCTCTTGTTCTTTTTTTTGTTTCGATAAATTGTTGTTTTAAAAAAATATAAAAAAATATGAAAAACATTTATATAAAGTATAAAATGCATAATTGAAAGAAATGCCAATAAACAATCTAAATAGCTTTTAAAAAAGAAGCCGAGGACCACTAATAAAGGTCAGAAGCCGTCCATCGACTTTGCAAATCCACACGTGGCATCAGGCCAGTGGTAACGTTTTATATCCTTTTATTTTATTATTTGACCTTTTTTCTTATGTATTCTATTATTTGCTTGTATTAAAAAAATAACGATAATGGGAGATTTTTATATTCTTTTATTTTTATTTTAAAAAAGAGTTTAATATAATTGTTACAAAAAAAAATATAAATCTTTATATTTTCTTTAAAAAATAACACAGTTATTAAAGATACTCGAATTTGAGTTCCATGATATGTTGTTATTTTTAGTTAAAATTTGTTATGATTTCCTCATTTAAAGTTGATAAACTAACATTATTAGACGTACAAGAAATCATTGAAAAACAACATTTAAGTTAGGAATTTTTTTCTTTTTCTATAAAGCAAGAAAAGATTATTCCTCTAAAAAGTAAGAAGCCGAAATTTAAGCAATACCGATAGGGATTCGTTTTTGAAAATTCCAAAATGATTTCAATGTGCTTATTTTGCCTACAATGTATAGGTTTGTTTATAGATACATAGATAGAAACGTGTTTAATTGCGTGTCGCTCATATCATAGAGTACAGTTCTACCGTCAATTTAAAATTATATTTATATATGTAGTTAGGTGTTACGTTTCAAGTTCAAATATGTTGTTTTATAA